GGGAAATTAAATAGTTGTGACAAATAGACAATCAATTTTTTTTGTTACACCTGAGCGTGAGCTGTGATCATAATTAACACTGAGAAAACAAGAATTCATTTAATTGTCACCGTCACGTTGAAGGAGCTGCAAATATTTAGATTTTGTTACTGATCACAAGCCGTTAACGGAAATACGATCATTATTATACATGTTCTCTTTTTTTTTCTTTTTCACTCTACATATGACACTAATGTACACATGTAAGAGAATTCTATTTCGACATTTTTATTTATTCGCTCCTTTCTAATGGTTGAGCGTTGTACTAAACTGCAACCAATTAAATTATTTTGTATACTGATGTCTTTGAAGAAACAGATGGTTACACTATGTGAAAAGGAAGTTTGAGCTAAAGAATTTTCATCGAGCATGTACAACTCTAAAATGATAAAGCTATTGAAGTTTTAAAAAACACATCTTTCTTGTCCACGACAACCTTACAGAAAATCTTTCCTTTTAGAAAAGAAATCAATTTTTATTTTATCAGGTTGATTCATAATCAATTGTGGATTAAATTTCAGATAAAATCGACCACTTTTGTTCCTTGTTTTTGAGATACCGTCCAGTAGTTCCAAGGGTTCTTTTTAAGATCAATCGATAGAGAATTGAATTCTCTACAAAACCTGTAATTTTAATCTCTGACAGCGTTTTTCCCGTTTGAGCACCATTCAATATTTCAAATGGTGTTGAGTTATCGAACTGCGACGTGCTTTTGACCTCTTCTTTGAGATTTTTATCCTATTGTCTGAGGTTCAATAGTTAATTTTTCTAGGTAGAAAGATAGAGAATTTTGTGCTCTATCGATCTCACTGATATACAACTTCATACAATGTTTTCGCTACGTCAGCTGGAGTCAAAATTAGTTCTCAACCGGCTTTTCAATTTTTTCAAATTAAATTAATTGTTTTAATTAATGATTTGAACTGAGAAACTTTCTTTATATATCAAAAAAATGCAGAATTTAATTCTGTGTAAGATGGTAAGACTAAAACCCTGGATTCAAAATGTTTTCCTGCTTTTTTAGCCAAAAAAACTAAAGTCTGTGAGAATATGTTCAGAAGTTAGGCTGCTTTAGATTTATCAGGTTTTTAGATCAAGGCAAATATTTTTCTATTTTCAGTGTGTCGCAGTTTGACAACTCAGCACCATTCGAAATATTGAATGGTGCTCAAACGGAAAAAACGCTGTCAGAGATTAAAATTACAGATTTTGTAGAGAATTCAATTCTCTATCGATTGACCTTAAAAAGAACCCTTGGAATTACTGGACGGTATTTCAAAAACAACGAACAAAAGTGGCTGATTTTATCTGAAATTTAATCCGCAATTAATTATGATTCAACCTGATACAAGAATTTTTTCGCTAGAATAGTACCCTATTTCAAAGTTATTGTGGTGAAGCTCCTTTCTATGTTCAACATGCATGTTAAGTATAGAACTCCATAGCTTTTCGAGCTTCATAGAAGTCTGGTTTTTCTTTTTTTGAACATTTTTATTTTAATAAAAAAAATTTACGTGGGCTGGTCTTATTCTATTATATAAAAATGATACTTACACAAAAGCTTAAGAGGCACTTTATAAAAAAATTACCCTATAGTCTCCAAATGCAGTACCTAAAAGAAGAAGATTATCTCATACTTCTTCGACTGATTTTTTTAGTATTTCATTTGAAAGTTCAAATAAAGGGAAGATCCATCATACTTCTTTAGCTGTTTTTTGAAAATATTTTGTTCAAATTTAGATTTCATTTTAGCTCTTCGTAAACTTCGGGAAAAAGAGTCTGTTGTTGAGTAGTACTCCGTATTTTACGAATGTTTTAAAACTATTGAATTAATTTCATCAGTTTATAACGAAACTTAGAAAAAAGATGTTTCTGTAGACTAATGTGAGATATACCTTTATCTATACAAGATATAGGAAAAGTTATTTTTTAGAATTTTGGTTTTAAAGAGGCTCACCAGAAGGCTATCGTCATAAAAATTTGACAATATATATAAATTTGCCACAAAGATAACTTTACTGTAATTTTTAGACATATTACTTGTCATTTAATGGATTCAAACTCTTCCTTCGATTTAAGCTTTTGAATGAGATACTTAGAAAATCAATAGGAGAACCATAAAGTGTCGTCTAAGGTCTTTTCTGATAGACTCTCTTAACATAAAATTTGTGGTATAACGAATAAAATATTATCTCTACATTAGCTAGCATATACGGTAAATCTTACATACTGTACAAACAGAGTCATAAAACAACACCAACATTATTCGGTGATGTCAGTTCTAGTTTTATTGTATATTCACGAGCTTTCATACGAAGTGCTTCAATACTACTTGTTCTTCGATTTTCTTCTACTTCAATTGCCGTGAAACTCGTTTGTTTTTCATGTATTGTAGTTAACTCAGTTTCTGGTTTAGTTGATGTTAATGATGTTTTTAATTTTTTGATTGATTCAGAACTATTTGTACCAGCCGGTGATACAGATCGTTTTCTTGCTGTTTTCTTATTTGTTTGTGGTGATGGAAAATCTGTTGTTTTTTCATCTTGCTTACTGTTCGTTGGTGAGTTTGATTCAATTTTTTCCAATTTTAGTAACATGGGACTTTGTGAGCGAGATGAACATGATGATGACAATTCTGGTTGTGTTGAAGGATGTTCTCGTTCGCTCTCAAGCGAGGTTGAAGATGCTGATGATTCGGATGAATTTGGAATAGCAGTGATGGTAGTATTAGATGAAACAGCTGCAGCAGCTTGTGCGGCTAAATGTTGAAGAATTGCAATATTTGGATAAGCAAATAGATTTGATGAAGGTGCAGACCAATAGGGAGGATATACATGTAACGGTAGTTGAGGAGGACATGCTGCTGCTGATAATAAAGAATAAGATGAGAGTAATTCAGCTTGAGAAAAGGATGCCATTCTTGACAAAAGTGATGTTGGATAATTCGATAATTGATGACTGATAGCATTTGATGTTGCACAAGCAGGATTCATTTTTTCACGTTTACGCCATTTTGCACGACGATTTTGAAACCATACTTGAACACGGGCCTCTGTTAAATCAATTCGAAGAGCCAATTCCTCTCTAAATAAAAATAAAATATATTATCATAGATCACATAGAATTCATCTTCGTTCTCGAATTGATAATGCTGGTTTGAGTCATGTGAGCTTCTTTAAAAATTGTATATCCTATTTTAGACGGGAAAGTATTATGTCTAGAAAAGCTAGAGAAAAAATTACTACTAAAACGAAATTCAAACAATTTTGAATCTTCTCTTAACGGTGCATCGTATATATATATATATATATATGTTGTTCAAAAAGATTTTTTTATGGGCTATATGTTAAGTAGGAGCCTGTTGTCATGAACTTATCTGTAAAGAGTAGTGTGATGCATCTAGCTATGGATTTTATTGATTTTTTAGTTAGTCTCATTATCTCCGTATACTACTGATCCAATGTAGGCAATCTTTCTTATTTTTAAAATGTTCCTATGATAATCATCGATCATTAACAAATATAAAAACGAGCGTCTATAATAAACTATCGACTTTAACAATATCTAATATACAGATTAGAAGTTGTTACGTTTATTTTTATTGTTCTTTCAAGTTTTCTTAAACATACCATACCATAGAAGAAAAACGTTATAGTACGTGTCTGTAGGTGTTTTCATTGTACAGGTGTCAAAAGTGATTTATCTTCATACACTGATTTCATCTTGTTCAAAAAATTTTTAATTGCTTGCATTTATAATGTGAGTTTTGTTTGTCAAAACAAACACATCACAATACACTAAGACTCAATTAGCTTATTCATCAAATGCTAGAACAATTGAAAACGATCAAAACATATTATTAGCTATTTCTTCTTCTTAACGTTGAGTAAACGAATTCTCTATAGGTGTTTAATCGAAGTTTATTATTTAATTGTTTTCTTGTAGTATCATAATGAGAAAAGATTTAATAGAGGAAAAAAGAAAACAATTGAAAGGCGTATCAAGCACACTACGGGATATTAAAATTGAAACATTAGTTTTTAAGATGAACATTATATAGATAAGTGTATAAACAAAATGTATCAACGTTTATAGGAAGATTGCACTCATTTATTTAATTGTAAAACTCTGATATTATGAGTTATGTCTCTGATAGCTAAATGAGAACTAAATAATGAAGTTTAAAAATATGACTATTTTCTACATGATTTCTGTGAAACTCTCTTGGATTTAGCAACCATTTTCAAAAACTGTTTTTCTTCCTAAATCCTTTCTTAATGATTTTTTAAACTATCTTTTATCTTAAAGAAATAATTTATTGAATAGAAAGTTTTATGGTTTATATATGTATTGTATAATCTCGTCCATAGTACGTTTGAAATTTGTTTTTGAATATTTAAGTAAATAAAATATCAAATTGAAGAGTAAAAGCCACCTACCTCCATATTTTTATGAGAAAAAAAACGACTAGGTAGTACTCCATAGTTCTTTCGTTGTACATAAGTGTACTTAATGTGAACAATCTTTCTCATTCTCTCATTTTTAATTGTTAATCAACAATAAGTACCGAACCGTACAATAACAATAAAACGTTTTATTTACTTTATAGAAGTAGCTTGACAATTTCTATTACGCATAGTTTTTTTCTCATGATGGTAGCAAAAAATGATATTCATAAGAGTGATCATTCCATTACACATAGGTTTTTTTAATGTAAACTGATAACTATCAAATGCAATGCATTATAGATTGATAAGAAATAAAAATCAGTTTTAACTGTCATCCACTTTTCCTCTTTTATTTCGTTACTATCCAAGATGTAAAAAAACATTTATCAAACTAATAAAGAGAGACAGAAAAGAGTGATTTTTACGTGTATATTATTTATATGATTAAAAAACATTAATTTACACTAGAATAAATAAGCTTAAACACTCGATTAAAATCATTTTATTATTTAATCAAACGTTTTTCAGTTCTATTCAAACATTACACAACTCAATACGCTATATTGTACGTAGAAACAGTAAATATAGGAACTGATTTTAAACTATAATATTTATAGATTTAAACTCTGAGAATAAGACGAAAGACAAAACGTTTTTCAATCTTTAATCAAACTTTTTAGGAAACACAAAACCAAAAAAAAGAAATTGATATAAACTTAAGTGTTACCTAAGAAATACATCTGGATAATGTGTTCGTTGAAAACTTTTTTCCAATTCTTCTAATTGAAATGATGTAAATGTCGTTCTAGAATCAAAATAGAGATAAATAAATCTGTATATAATAGTTTCTTAATTAGTTTTACCTGTATCGTCGTTGTTTTCGTTTATGAGTATCATCATCGCTATAACCACTTAGACTATCACTTTCATCTTTTCCATTATCTACTCCTCCATTATTATTATTATTTTGATTCATTAACGTTCTATTTTTGGGACTAACTGATGATCGTCGACTATTTAATAATAATGGTGAATAATTTGTTGTTAATAGTTGTGTGCTATTTTTCCAATTTTCTTCATTATGTTTCATTTCCATTATCGACATCACATTTTCTCTCTTCACATCAATTAAATTCCATATCCGTTAGTTACAGTTAATTATTGATGAATATAATAATGATAAGTACATACCAATTGGCTTCATGTTTAATTTATTTTCTTCTAACACTTGGTCAAAATTTGCGACTTTCTCATTGACAAATGATTGGTGACAAAAAAGAAAAAAAAAAAAATTTCTTTTCATTGGTACATTTTTCTTCCTTTTTTTTTTTTCTTCTTCTTCTTCTAATATAAAAGAATAAAATAACGATAGATTTTGATCGGTAGTCAAATAAATTAGTGTCGAGATTGTTTACATGGCTCAATTAAACACACATACACGAGCGAGACTTGAATGAATGAATGAAAAGAAAGAAAACATAACATTATTAATTTCTTTTTCTTTTCTTTTTCAGTTTATGCTCACGATTGGTCTAATGCAATTCACTGTTTAACTCATAGACGACTTATAGTCAAATAATTTACAAATCGGAAATAATTAGGATTTTCATAATCTTATGATAAATGATCATTTTGTTTTGTGTCGATAAAGATGATTTTTTTTTTGCAATATATAAATTAATTAACTTTTTCAGAAGTTTTTTCAGTTAAAATACAATCTAAAAGTTGTTCAAGGCCTCTTTAAGTAAAACAATATGATAATTATCTTTTGTCAAAACAAAATCTGAAAGTTTCAGTCCTAATTTCTGTATGCTCATGAAGATTGGATTTAATCGTTTCAAAACTTTTGTTTCCATTTGGTTCTTCCTGACTACACTAGTGACTAGCTTTGAATATTTTAGGTAAAATCATCAATTATCCTCAAAAACGAAAAGTTATTTACTTCATAGTTGATAATTTTCACTCTAAGTCAAATATCCTATATTCTCAAAACATGAACGTGACAACGTTTTTATTTATTAAAATTTGGATTTCTTCGCGTTTACGTAATTGATTTTAACAATTTTTTTTATAATGTAGAACAAATATCGTACTATCAGACACTATCTTTAGATTTTTGAAACATTCGATCATTACAAAATATTATCAGAAAACCATGCATTTTTGTGAGCAAACAGAACTGGTATTTGAAACTTTTTATAATGATCTTGCATTTTTTTTTTATAAATTTAAGGCTATATTTATCATCGCGACATAGTACAAAGTATAATGAGATATTTCACAAGTTTAGTTTGTAATTTACCATCCGCCCAACATACTTGTATGAAATAAGGAAAACTGTTCAAAACCAAGCAAATACAACAGTTATACGTTTATAGTTCTATATATATAGAACTATACAAATGATGAAAATGTCAAGATGTTCAAAAGTATACTAATGGCCTTCTAGAATATTACTTTCATGACTAAGATGTGAAAAGTAAAACATGTAATGACACTAAGTTGCAGTATTATTTGTTCGATTCAATTTACTACATTTGACCGATATTCATGACGTTCAAATTAGTGAAATCGAACATGATCATTCAACAGTCTTGGACAACTGGAAGAAGAACTCTTGGGTTTATCTAAGTAAGTTTTCACGAAACTATAAAACATTTTCTAAAATTCTTACAAGTATCTAAAAGATTGGAGAGAGAGAAATACCAGAAAGACTTTTTTCATGATTGCGATCACTTATTTTATGCTTATTAATTAGATTTAAAAGGTGATCTCAATTTGGAACAGAAGGTTTGTTCTTTTCACATATTGTGTACACTGTTTATAATTTGTCAATATACCAGAACAATCATATTTTAGGTTCATACCCATCATTCTCTCATACAATTTAAAATATTCTCCGGTCATTTGGGATCGTACATTGGATAATGAGTACCATTATCATCAATACCACTACTACCAATTATGACATCATCTTTTATTGTTATTGAACGCGAACAAGAGAATTACGAGTACAGACCCATTTTTGAGTTCCGTTTTTATTTGAGCGTTTTAAACAATATAAGTAACTTTTATATAATATACCATATCCTGGTTTTTTTCAAAACAAACTCTTTATTTCAAATTGAGACCACATTTTATTTCTATAAAAAACGAAACAGGGGCGTGTATCCCCACCTGAATATTTGAGGCATTTTGTATTCACCTCGAAGGTTCGATCACTCAATGTACCACCGAAAAAATTAATTTCTACAGCAAAAAAGCGTACCACCTTACGTTTGTTTGAGGCATTGCGCCTCAAACGTCCTACAAGATAAACGCCCCTGAAACGAGAGAATATGTGCGTTCCAAATTAAGACCACTTTTACTACTATACAATTTTCACTTCCAAATTGAGACCACTTTTTAAATCTAATTAATGAACATAAAAAAAGGTGGTGTCAATCATGAAGCCTCGACCAGAAGTAATAAAAAACACTCGGACAAATGGTTTAATATTTTAACGGATGACTTGCATAAAGTTAAAGCCTGAAAATGAGTCATAATCTACAGAGTTAACTCGAAACATTTTAACATATAATTGGAAAAAATCGTGTTTATATGGTGTATTTTTCTTTCATGTATGTTTTTATCGGTGAAAATTAACTTTTGTCAAATATTGTTCAATTTGATGACGGTATCGATCTATTACGTATAAAAATAACATATCGTTTATTTTTATTTTATTCATCATAACCGCACGGGTCTACTGTTGATTATTTGTTGATATAAATGTTTCGGTATGTTTTTGATGACTAAATGTTGTCTTCTTACCTATATAGAGGGAATTATCATTATATTGTGAAACATATTTGTCGTCTCTTTCGTACAAACATACACATTTTTGATCTTTATACAGTAATGAACAAGTTTCGTATTTTAATAGAAAAATACAATTGGAAAACCATTGTGATTATGTCTAGTTTCTTTACAAATCACGTAGTGAAATATCTCATCACAGTATCTACCCATTTTTTGTATTATTTTGATCAATTATTATGAATTTTCAAAGGAAAAATGATGATGTTTAGGATTAGTAAGATAATCAGTCTTGAACATGGGTGATTTATCGATTCAAAAGGACACAATTATTTTAACTACTAAAAGTTATAATAAATTTTCTTCTTCGCTGTAATTGTCAATAGAGGAAAGTTTGATTTATCGAATTGCATTTTAAAAATAGACACAACAAACTACAGTTTAATAACAATTAGAAAAAAGTCTAAATATAGTTAAAAAGATAAGAAACGCTAAATGACTGTAAAGTTTATATATCATTTTTTTTAAATCACTGTTTACACAACTTTATTAAAAAAAAGTCACTAAAAGTATTTCTAAATTAGTTCAAAAAACGAAAAATAATTTTATTTGTATTTTCACATTATTCCTATTTCCTTTTCCTCTTAATTTTCTAAATCTTTTTATGTATCTGTAGATATTGTTCATCACTCTAACGGATGTCACAGAGTAAATTGCACTAAATCTTGGTGCATTTTTTTCTTATTTCCTATTTATAAAAGAAATTTCTTTATATACCAAATGATAGACAATTTAATTTTCTACAAGATTGTATACTTATTTTTAAGATTCATCCTTGATGTTTGGCACAGTAATTCTAACAAGAGTAGCTCCACATTTTTTAACTGCACTACGCAGTTTTAAAGTGCAAACTACTCTCTTTTTTTAATTGTTTATAATGAGTACAAAAAAGTTTAAAATAATTTTATTACCGTCAAATGGTGAAGAATTTCATGCTTTGCAAAACAGTTTACTTGAAGTTAATTTATTTCAATTGCTAGTGGCTTTGATACATAAACTTCCAAATTCACTGAAGTTTCTAGAACTAGAAGAACTTTTTGACTATTTCAACATAAAATTCAAAGTTCAAATCATTAATTTACAGAACGCAGAATTTCGCGCTCTATTAGACTGTGTAACTTAGAAATAAATCTGCTACTTCTTTTATCTGAAAAACTTGAAAATACTGGATGTCACTCAAATGGCTGAAAAATAGGAGAAAATGACCTTTCTCAAAGATGTTTTTCGCTCCGATTTCAACCAAAAAATCATTATTTTTCATTAAAAAAGCCATCATATTGAATTTTTCGGTATAACTTGTTCTATTTAATAAGTGATTTTTAGCGAGATTTTGCGCAAAAAATCGATTTTTTGAAGATGTAGTTAAGAATGTGGAGCTGCTCTTGTTAGAGTTACTGTGCCAAATATCAAGGATGAATCTCGAAAATAAGTATACAATCTTGTAGAGAATTAAATTGTCTATCATTTGGTATATAAAGAAATTTTTTTTATAAATAGGAAATAAGAGAAAAATGCACCAAGATTTAGTGCAATTTACTCTATGTCACCCGTTAGAATAATTAGACATAGCTTTACTAGCAGTTTCTAGCCATTCATTTCGGATCAAATTAAAAATAGTCAATTTCCGATAAACTATCAATAATAATTTTTCATTTGTATAGAGGTTTTTGTATCTTTTCGAGTAAACTACAAGCAACTAAACATTTTGAAATTTTGTTATCGATAATTCGTTAACACATAGAAAACATCAATATCACTTTTCTTTTTAAACAAATGAGTAACATTTTATCTGTTCTAATATAATGTAGTGTGTTCACAAGTCAAATCTACGTCTTCACATTTGGTATTGAATCGTTTCGATAAACATATATAGTTTTTTTAGTGTTAAGTATTTTAGCTTATCAATAGAATTTTCTAATATAGCATTATCGACGACATTTTAAGTTTAACGATAATGGTTTTCAATGATTTAATTAAGCCATTATAATTAAAAAGAAATAGTAGGCCAAATAGTTTATTAAAAATGTAAGATATACGAGTTAATAAATGTTGTGCAGTTGTATGAAAACTATTTTTTATATAAATCCGCCCTCATTTCTTGTATCTTATTTTTATCATTTGAAAATCATTGATTATCACAAGATAAAAAAATTGTTTCTTTTATTTGGAGAAAGAGAAAATTTTTAACCTTAAAGTTTGAAAGCATGCTAAAAGCCATATCGATTGTATTGTTAGTGACATAAACTCAGGGGTGTCCCGATACCTCGGAGACAGGTGGGACGAAGTTAATTTCGGAGTTAATTTTTATGCTTTTAAAAATTGGAGTAAAACTAAAAAAAAAGATAAATATTCTAAGCAGTTTTCTTCTATAGCAAGACTGAATTTCCTACTATCTAACTCTATTTATTTCAACACAAAGCCTTATAATATAAAAACACCTCATAGTATAAAAATACATTTACTGAAGCCATGATACGGTCTCTTCCACTTATCTTATCTTATTTATGTACATGCCAGACATTTTATTTTCTATCAAACGCACAGAGTAAAACCAACGATACAACGACCAAGGACATTTTAATGACAGTACCGGGGCTTTCATTAAAAAACGCTTTAATGAAACAAAGCTTTTTTAATGGAAAGTCACCAGTCCCTAGCTACACTTTTGTAAGTTTATGGAATTCATAACAAGTTGTTTGAGTTCTGACATCTCATTTATTTCGGTTAATTCCTTTAGATAGTACATTGTATTTAAGAGACCCTTGTCAGAAATTTATTTCGTTAACGGCCAGTTCGATAGAGACCAACCTTTCGGCTGTTGACGAAATTGTTTTTATTTTACTTTTGTTCGCCTGATGTCGCCACAATAGCGGGCGAAATGGGATAGTTAAGGTTTTTCAAAATTCTTCCTCATTTAAATTTTGAACTCCTGTGTTTATTGACTGAATTATATTTTTTAATATTAGGTGAAAATAACTTGAAACCCAACTTTTCGTGAAACTCACTTTTTGCTGGATTTTTAAACCTTTTTCTAAAAACAAATATTACCACGAGAGTCAGCACGATCGATTACCTGTAATCCGACAGTTTTCAAGCTTACCAATAGTCACCGGGTGCCAGTTCTGAGGCTCGTAGGAAATCGATTTACCGCGGTTCTGGCGCTCAATCAAAGACCTTGCTTGGCTCCCATTTTGAAGGAAAGACTCCAGGCTATCAGTCCGTGAAAAAAAATCAATACAATCCTATTGGAAAACTTTTACATACAATCTGGTTTTTCAAAGATCTCCTAGAAAACCTGTTTAAAAAAATGCTTCTAAAAATTTTTTAGCTTGCAAAAATATGTTCCCAAATCTCCTCTTTCGCATGCCGAAAACCGAAGGTATCTAGCTCTTTTCGTTCGCGTGTTATTCGAAAAATGATCATCCCTATTATTTTATTTTACAGACAGTAGTTATTTTCCTGACCACTAATAACACCAACGTCATAAAAAATGTTATAGGATTATATGTGATGTAATAGCCATCGACCAAAATAAATATTTAAATTTAAAAAGATCCACAAGACATATCTAGCTACAAGAATTTAGAATGTCTTAACTAGTCAATCACTCAAAACAAACATTTAGAACGATAACTAGTGTCCTCTATCAGTTACTCCTTGGAAGAGAATGTTCGTTTTCAAAGATGTAGACGCATTAGCACTGTATTTAATTGGAAATCTACTTGAAATTCTCTCTGAATGATTCATAATACCAATGGCATTGAAATATCCTTCTGACCTTTTCGAAATACGCACATTACCTCACCTCATATGAAACCGAAATCAAATGACGTATCATATAGACTCTTTGTTATAAAAGGATACTCTTTGTGCCTTCCATGTTGAAATCTTGAATCCTGTAGTTGTTATTGTTGTTGCCGGAATAGAGCGAGCTAAAGTGCGTGAAAAGGGAGCGTTTGTCTATCAGTTTTTGTAAATAAAGTTAGTGGTGTAAAGATCTGAAAGTCTAGATCTTTGGTAAGTGGGAAATTTATTCTGTACTCTTCATAGAGCACTTATATTTTCAAGATTGTTTGTACACAGAAGAATGGAAGGTGATCAGCAACAACAGTCAGGTGGAAATGTTGATGTTATTTCAATGGTTATTTGGTTATCAACAGGAAATGGAAAGTTCTATGAATTAGTATGTGCACTTATCGCTGGTTTTATTGCAAAAAACTAATTTATTTATTTCATTGCTTTTAGCACGGTCAACGGGAAATAATAAAACAAGTGTTACCAAAATCGCCGGATAATGCATACCGATGGGGATATTATAACAGCCCTGGTAAGTTAGCTAAGGAGAGTAAAACAAGTTGAATACTATTAATACGAACATCTGCTTGTTTTCATTTTGGGCTTTTTGAGAATCAACTATTTAGTAATGCAACTTTTTTTGTTTAAGCTGATCCTGATCGAGCCTCGTACACACAAGTTCTAGAAGCATTTCTAAAGAATGGTTTTCGAATCGAGGGCAGTTCTGGAGCGGGTACACAGGGTTTACTGCGTACACAATATATCCTTGTTAAACGTGCAACATCATAAGAAGAATGAAGGTGGAAGAGAATCTAGACGCTGATAAAACAACACATTCATAAACAAAAGGTGGATGGAAATAAAAATGGCATAAAACATCTTTTTGGGCTAGATAACTGAACAACAGCAGAATGAGAAAGGAAATCTTCTCAGGGATAAAAAAAATAATAACATACCATTTATTATATCTTGTTTTGCTTTTTTTCTCTTCTCTTTGTCTAAACTCTAGTCTGTTTTTTTTTCTTACTTTTCTGTTGTTTTTTTCTTCTATATATTTCCGGGTATTATTGTTGTGTTTACTTTTTGAATTTTATATATTTTTTTGTTAAAGAACCATGAAAAACAGATAAATATTGTAAAAAAAATGTTTGTCTTAGTAAATGACAAGCAGTTTTTCATTTTGTTGTGTGTGTGTGTGTATCCGCGTTTAATAAAGATTTTACTGGTTATGTCGTAGTTTCATATAGTACTATGGGATTTGGTTTTTTGTAGTCATACAGTAGTGTTGTGTTTTTTGTTTTGTATGTTTGTGTTTTGTGATGTCAGCGTTTAGAATGGTGAAAAGAAAAATATCATGAAGATCAGAAGAACGTTATTGATGAAAATAAAATGAAACGAAAATAAAATATATGGTTCAAGCTTGACTATCAGATATTTTTATCATAAACTGCGAACAAAGAATCACGGCTGGCACAGTCACCTAGATCTAGGTTATAGAGATGATTGTTACTGTGTGTTTGGTATATACTTTAGTTTTTTTATAGGAGTAGCATTATACTATTACTTTATCAAGTAATAGATAATTTTTTTGGGAATGAGCAAAATTAAACATCAGACTAAACGTTTATTATTTCGGTCAACTTTTTAAAGATATTACTAAGTAACATTAATAGATGTTGCTTATTTTCAAAACATCATTGTACTTTCTAAATACAACTAAAAATGGATTTAGAATTATTAAAAACTATTCACATTATTATTACTGTTTCAGAGTCGAAATCGAAAATGCTATCTGTAACTACTAAAACTAACAAATATTACTCGAAAATAGTGACAAATTAATGTCATCTCTCATTTTTTATATCGATTTTGTTTGGAAATGAGTCAGTGATAAAGCTTTCTTTGAAATAAAGTAAATATCAAAAGTAGAGGTGTCAGTGGTTTTTATAAACTAAAAAACGTTGTATCTAAAGTGATTGGTTCGATCTTTAAATATCAAATTGTTCTCGTTAGCAAGTTAAAGACGGTTCGATCTTTAGAAATTTAACGTTCTCAACATATTCGACTTTTTCTTTTTAGGCTCTTGATCATAGTTAAAATCCTGTCTCTGATTTAGCACTCGTACATTCAATTAAATAACTAACTTAATTCCAGTGGCTCCCTCTTAGAATAACAATTTTCAATTTTTCAAGGAAGAAGAATATTTGAAATAAATAATTTACAGGCTGATATAGAATAAAAATAACTGTGATAGCTGCGGGTGAGAAAAAGCTGAAATTTCTATTTCATGTTAATTGTTCTTCGTGTATTGGATGAATAAGTGTACCTATAAAATATTCAAACTCTGTTGTTTACATTATGTTTTTTCATTTATTTTACGATATTTGTTTTTCGAAAAGAATGAAATCAACTATTGTACATTCCTTTGAGCTAGTCAAAGTACAATTATTATCTTGATATTTATTTCTGCTTTTAGATTGATAATAATCCGATAAATGTCTCAAAGTCGTTACGATGTTTTAAGTTTACTTGTTCGTAATGTTCTATTGTCAAATTCAAAACAGTTTCAATTACATGGAGATAAACAAATAATCATTCAGATTTTGCCCACAGCACCTGAAAGAGCGTAAATGATTTTTTTATTGAATTTAAAAGTAAAGTCTTTTATTCTCTTTGTTTTATTTTAGATTTTTATCAACTGACTGCTATGATTCAAGTAATGATCTTAATTCGATATCTTATATCGATATATTGCAACGTTTATTACGATTAGGATTTCATATTGAATCATCTACAAGTGGCTCATATAATATGGTTCAAACAAAACAAGATAAAAAAGTAGATCAGATGCAACAACAGCAACAACAAGATTCTTACGTCTTACAGTATACACTTGTTCGCACACATACGTCGTGATTAACGAGTTTTTGTTTATGTCCATAAATTGTATTCAATAAATATTTTTTCTACTTCTAAGTTAAACAAGCGTACTAGCGTTGTTCTCGTTTTTTTCTTATCTCAGTTAATCTGATGTATTTTATTTTGAAGCAGGAAATGTTTTAAATTTGCTCATTTAGTGTTTTTAATGCCTACTTTTGTGATATGGTATATAAGTGAACTTTATAATCACTGTATTTGCTATTATCTTTTTAAAATAGTTAGTTGCTTGTTTATTTTTCTTCATGTAGATGAAATTTTTGTTTTGTATCTTTTTTTTTTTGTTTATCACAAGGTTTGTGTGGTGTGGTTAGAATGGATAACGTTTGCTTGCTCATATTTTGTTTTTTTATTTTCACTTGAATAGTTAGTTAATAATAATAATAAATGTATTATTAGAATTATTCTCTTTATATTTGTGTAATAATCGTGTGTGCTTCTATCCTCGTTATTGAAGACCACGATATGATAATGTTCGAGGAATGGGAAGGAAAACAATGAAGATGCTAATGCTGTAAAAAAGGATTAAAATCTTAATTTTACTAATTTGCCTAAACAGCATATTTTGACTGGAATTGAACTATCAAATTGCTGGAATAAAAATGTACAATTCATCGTATGATGAGAGGGTAAGAAAATTGTTTAAATAAAAAGTTCTAAAACGTATCTTAAGAGCTGTGATTTGAAGTGAGAGAGAGAGAGAGAGAGAGAGGAAAGAGCCAGAAAATGATATGATCCAAAAGAAAAGTCTAGTCAATACAAAATTCAAAAATATGGCATAAACACGAGAAGAATCTAAGAAAGAGCTTCGTATGCTTTCATTATAAAGATATTTCTCTCACAGAAAAACATCCTCTAGCATAAAATACATAATTCATAAAACTCATGTTTTTTCAATGTTCGATGATGTGAGTTCATTTTTAATGCGTAGAAATTGAAATTGACTATAACAACAGTTTAAACAGTCGATTGTGTCTTTTTTTTTTATTTATTCAATCACATTGTTCTCGTTTTCTTTGTTGTTTTTTCAGATAAAAGATTATAATAATCATCCTTCATCTTATTTCAGTATATTTTAAGTACCTTTTCTTTATGAACGAAAAAAAAAAAATTTCACTTTTTTTTCTCACTAATTTATTTCTTTTTTTCAATGAAACTGATGTTACACGTGTATGTTTTAAAAATCACTAGTGTAATCGTTTAGCTTTTTTTGACATATAAAATTCTAGTTTTCATATAATATGTAATGTGTAATATCATATAATATTCTAGTTTTCACGTTATCTTATTCTAAATAGCCACACACATACACACACAATGTCTGATTTCAACTAATAAATGAAAAAAAGATATATGTAATATTTCTGATACTTTGTTGATAAAATTGTAGAAAATGAGATCATTTTATTATCCAAGATATTTATTTTCATTGACAATTCGCAATGATGAGTAAACACTTCTTGGTTTTTGAATATGATAGTAATCATGAATTTTAATACTAAAATAGAATAACTATAGTGGAATTCGTGTACAGTTGGACTATTCTGAACAGTCCAAAATGTTTTATGTTACAAATTGTAACATTTTTTCATGTTGCTTGAACTTATTGATTCCGCATAGCGACCGTCATTCATAATAGATTTATACAAAAGATATTTCTACATTAAAATGTTAATATACGTTTCTCTTATTTTATCATTGAATGAAAACTTTAGTTGTTCCTATTGGATTTTATATCGATTAATAAAATATAATAAATCAAATAAAAAAATTTAAAAATCATTTGTTAATTAATTAAAAGAAAATTTTTTTGAAAAAAATATTTGTATTTTATATATTTTTAACAGAGTTTATCAATGTCATATGTCTTACTCAGTTAATTTCAAAAAACATTTATTACACATTTGCTCAATCAATAGCAGAACTTTATTTGTACTCAATTGTAATGAATAAATCTCATTATAATTGGTATAGTTATAGAAACAAAATATTAGGTAAAAAATAAGTGATTCTATAAATTATGCAAATATTTTTCTTTGTCCATAAATAACTGTGAGCGACTGTTAATCATTGATTATCAGCTGTATATCTATATCAATGAAAAAACGCGAGAAATCTGTTTCACATACACTTGACATATTACATTAAAAAAAAAAATACGTAGGAAGAGGAAAAAGAAGGGCAAGCAACTGTTTAAATTTGAAAGTTTTGTGCCATTTTTACTGTTTAGCGTGCATGCAATTTATGATGGGACAAGCAAATAGAAGAAAAAAAATGAAAAAAAAAAAAAAAAACTTTTTTCGCTTTACAATAAAAATAAACAAGAAAAATTTCACTGTTACATGTTTTTTCAGGGTATCTCAAAGAAAATACAAGTTCCGACGGTATGACATAGAAAGATTATATTCAGCTCCTCTTTATTATTTAATTTTTCTTCTTCTCGTGCCTCTATTAGGAGCAACATTTTTTATTGTTGCTCTTTTAGAATAGAATAAAAAACTTTGAGCAGTACATCGTTCTATGTTTGTAATATTTTTATGTTTAATAAGTTTAAAAATTCTCTTATCAGTAAAAATTCTTGAAGAAACAATCTTTCTTCGTTGCTATTCTAATTATGTTGAATAAAGAGCATGAGAATTGAAGAATGATCTCTATAGGTCACGAGAGCTTATAAATACTTTTTGCTTTACTATAAACTTTAATAAGATCTGTCTTCAAAAAGATCTTTACACGATTTGACATGCAGAAAAATACTTTCGTTTTAATATTCTGATAATAAGTACAAAAAGAAAAATGTTTTGAATTAAGGTAAATGAGAGCACAGTATCACAGCATACTCTCCCATTCAATGAAGTATGTTATGTTTTTCATAAAACTAGATTTCAATCTTCGAATCAACATTTTTGTAAAGGAAATTTTAGTGAGTAACTAAAAACAGTTTTTCTGAGTCAACCAATATTTACTCAAGTCAACGAAACAAAACAGCAACAGTTCACTGTTGTCACTCATATCCTTGTAGTCTTCAACAAAAAAACAAGACTTTTAACGAGATCCATCTCTATCATACTTAATCAGTTGCAAAAAAATTAACATTTATTCGCAGACCTATTGAGTAATTTTTTGAAAAAAGAGGGATGAAAATGTTGTCTTCTTTCCCTTCCTCTAATCAAAATCGCTGCGACAAACAATGATTTTAAGGAAGTCATCTTTTTCTCTTACATCAAGACGTATTGAAGATGCCAATACATTCGATAAAAGATATGTTGCTCTCATAGTTCTCCAGATATGAATGAATTTTCTTTGAAAACGAATCCGATTCTATTAGTTTACGTTTTTAATAGTGGTTAAGAGATAATACCGGTAAAGTTTGATATATTGATAAATAAGAAAGTCATTTTTCATATTTATCGATGAGCAGTGTCTAAAAAGGATCTGCACGACCAGACAGACGCACATAAATCAAGATAGTAGACAAAGATAATCTAAAATATATGAGTAGACGAGCAAATTGTTCTTTGGATAAAACATGTGTGATCAGTTACAAAAAAAAAAGTGTGTTCTCAGTTTTATATGCGTTTCTATCTTAGTATTCAATTATCTTATAACGAGCATAAACAAGCACAAACAAAATTCCTAGAAACGTCTCTAAAAAAGAGTTGTAATATTTAGAGACTGATGATATATGTTTGATAATTCACTCTAGACAAATTTCTCGCTCTATTTTGACGTATAATTAAATTAAGGATCATAGTTATTATTTCTGCAATCTATATATTTTTTTCTTTTATAGTTAGAAATGATTAATCAGATACATGAATGGTTTTAGTAATTTTTGTTTTACTGATGAGTGAAAAGCAGATTATTATGAATAATTGTTTACATTTTCATGATTTTATTTAATTAAATATTTTTTATAATCAATAATAATAATAATAATAACAACAACAGCAGCAGCAACATGGAACATTTAGAATTGGTCCAAGAAATGATCTTGTTGGAAAAAATGACCGCTCAAGAACGTTTGAAACATGCCCGACGGAGACGACAACAACAATTAAAAAATTGGATGCAACGTGAAAAAGAGACATTATCAACAACGACCACTGCTATCACATCTGCTACATCTGGGGGATCGAATGGAGTAAATACAATGACAAAAGCGGCACAATCCTATTTACAACAACCATCATCTTTGAAACATCCAACAAAACTTAGTTCACAAGTTAAATTTCCTCAAAATGTTGTTTTACTTGATGGTACGTTAAATCTAAGAATTTGTTTGACTTCCCTAACAAGTAAGATCAAGGAGAGTAATTTGGTTTTCTGTTTTAGCCGCATCACGTCAAGATGCAGATGAGATAAGCCGTTTATTACAAACAGGCAACTACAATCCAAATACAGCCAACGAAGATGGTCTAACACCAATTCACCAATGCTCAATTGATAATAGTCAGGAATTGTTACTATTACTCATAAAATTTGGTGGTGATGTAAATGCACGTGATAAAGATTTATGGACACCGTTACATGCGGCAGCAACATGTGGACACATACAAATTTGTAAAATATTAATTGAAAATGGAGCTCAGTTATTAGCCTTAAATGCCGATGGAAATATGCCGGTATGACATTCTCTCTGCTACTATTATTGTATATTTCAATGAAAATTTATTTGTGCATTTAGTACGATATTTGTGATGATGATCAAACGTTAGACTATATAGAAACGCAAATGGATCATGTGGGTATAACACAAGAAATGATTGATACAACAAGATCAAAACTAGAAAATCAAATGTTAACTGATCTTCAACATTTAGTGAAGAAAAAAACATCACATCATTCTTCTAGGACAGCAGATGATATACTATCGTACAGAAATTCAGAAGGTGCCACACCATTACACATCGCAGCAGGTAATAATATGTCATTAAAATAACAACCTTCAGTTTTTAAGTTATTCTTTGATATTAAGCGACTGCTAATATTTTGTCGTGCCTATCATCATTAGATTATATTAATATAAATTTTGTGTTTTAGCAAATGGATATCAGTTTGTAGTGGAATATCTTCTACGGCAACATGTTTCTATCAATGTGCAGGATAAGGATGGATGGACGCCATTGCATGCAGGTATGTTGAACTGATACTGTTCTTGTTCGTCAATATCTTTTGTTCTGTTAAAGCTTCATTTTGGTGTCAGCAAGCCATTTTGGTGTTACTCATCGAAGCTGGAGGCGACATATATGAGAAAGTACCCGATCAACGAACTGCAATTGATTTATGTGATGATCCCGACATAAGAACATTCATGATAGATTATCGAGAACAATGTATTCGTAATCAACAACAACTTCAAGCGGCCCAACAAGCAGCAGCTCAAGCTGCTGCTCAACAACAACAACAAAAATCTACAAATCGCCTATTAACTGCTAACGGTTTGCCACCAACAACACCAGCCAGAACTGGTACACTTTATGAATCACGTTCGTCTGTTTCGTCACCGTATGGATCTGGTTCGAGTTTAAATCGAACCTCATCGATTCGTCGCGCCTCACTACGTGATCGAGAAAAAGTTAAAAAGTTAAATGCAAACTTTTTCGATGTACTCGAAGCAAAAGATAAAATACATGAAGATGTGGATGAAACAACGACGCCGACAGCCGTATTACTGCCCGTGTCAATAAAACTATCTTCGAGTGATAGTAAACAAACTAAACCACCAGTCACTAACGAAGAACAAGCAAGTAGCACAACGACAACGGGTACTGACACAACCGTTCGCCCCACGTCTATAACAACGAACACAATTGAATTACAGGCGACACCTGTGAAAAAACCGATTCCAATGAGTCGTACAGTAAATGATACGAATTCAGTTCGAAACGAGTTACCAGTGATAACGCTAAGTAATAATCATAGCAATAACACAATGTTACAACAATTACCCTCAGTTTCAACCACCACTGTTCCTCTACCGGGCACACTAATTGATGTTAAAAGAAAAAGAGATGAAAAACGTCGTGCCGCTACAAATGATATTGTTACATCGTCAACAGTAAATAGTAACGGAAAAATAAACGATAATATTCACAGTGGAAAGACGAATTATGATAATCCGTCTAATACCGCTAATACGCATCTGATTCGAACAACTTTTCCTCCTGTACCACAACATCAGCACTTGATAACAAATAATAATGATTTATTAAAAAAGTATAGTTCACCTAAACATGTTGAAATTGTTGGACATTCGGATGCTGATCGTGAAAAACGTATATGTTGCGTTATTTTATGAAGTTATTATTTTGTTATGTTCCTAGAATAGGTTTCACTGGTACTTGGCATGATATCAATCAAACAGATTAAGGAACAGTAAAGCGAGAGATGTTGTTTGTTACTCTTTTCTTTTTCGCCATATTGTTGTTGTTGCTGTTGTTGAATCTGTATTGATAATAATGGATTTGCAACACAGAATGATGTAAAGTCTCTTTATACATATGAGCTTTCTTCTGTTTGTCTTTCAAGAGAAAAAAACTACGAAAGGTTTTGCTCATGTTCTTCCGTCCTTCTACTACTCATCATGCTTTTTTTTGTTTTCAACCCTGTGCATTTGTGTTTATGTGTGTCTGTAAACAGTGTAGGCATCATGAGAATGTTTTTGATCTTTTTTATTTCTCTGCGAAGCGAATGATATGAAACGCAACAAATATGCAAATCACTTTAATTCTTTTCCTCTATGCAATATTTTGGAAAAAAACAATTGTAATATCACTGAATGGACGTTGGTCCAAAAACGTCACGTTTTTTATATACTATACCTCGCTGATATATCGTTTAATAGCCAAGCGGTTTTTTTAGGTCAGTTGAACGACTTTTTCTCATTTTATTAGTGTCTGATAATTATTTTTCTCTCAATGAAGGTTCCACTCTATTGTTGCTCCTTCGTTTACATACACACACACATACACAAGTAAATGAATATTTAAAGTTCCATACTTTGTTATTGCTTTCTTCTCAATTTTTGTTTTATGCGCATTTAGCTATATATCTTTCTGTATATCTATTTCTTTGCGCATGTCTAGATATTTCTATAAAGCAAAATAAACATACAATTTAATATCAAGATCAAATCGGTATAAAGTCTACTATACACAATTTATTTAATAATTAACTAAATATGAAACATTGTGAAAAAATAGAAAAAATTGTCATTATTGTTTAGAATTTATAAGAAAATGAATCGTTTCATTGTTCACCATTCATCAAACCAATCTCCAAAAATGCAACATTGAATATAACACTGACTTTTAAGAAAAAATGGACATAAATTTTGGTTTCTTTCACCGGTATCAATCATACTCCAAAAAAATCCGTCTTATTCTTCTATCGGCCTAACCTTTTTCTCCCATCTTATTTCTAAGACTGAAGAAAAAAGATCTTATTTTTGCCGTCTGAAATACGAGAAATCACTAGTGGCGTAGCTACCGGATGGGTTACGATCGGCTCAGTCCATCCACTAAAAGTTTTATAATTTACTCTATTCTGCGCTCATGTCTACCACTTTGAAAAAATTCGGGACAACGCCTATCTACTAACAAAATCCTGGCTACGCCACTGGAAATCACTCACCTTTTTTGTTTCTTATTGACTACTTGTATATGAAAAACAGAAGATTTAATGAAATACACTTCGAATGTTATCATTTTTCACTTATAAAATATTAACTACAGCTAGATTGAAACTACTGACCTATCCCTATGAGCTTATCTTAACAATCGAACTGCTGAGAAAAATAAGACATAAATTTGTCGGTCTTTAAAATAAGACCCCATAAGACGGATGATCAAACGGTCTTATTTTGAGACCTATGTATGGGTCTAATCGTCAAACCGACTCATGGAGTCTTATTTTAAGACGTATTCTTTTTTACAGTGTGGACCTTTCGTCAAAACTTATCAGCAATAATTTGAACACTAAATTAACCCTTGCAGACAGAACTACATAAGCTAGATCACTTAGAACAGGATAAAATGTGTGATTTATATTATAGGCTACTAACCAAAACGTTCTCGTTTTTGCAAGGTATTATATTCGCTTATAAAACATCAGAAAGTGGTAAGGCGTGTGTAATTCGAATTTCAAGCGCTATTTCTTTTTTCGCTTATTTATACATCATTTGATAGAGCTCATCAAACTGATCAAGAATAACTAGGTTTCAGCTTTTCAAATGAGTTTTCATGGAGAAATTTTGAAAATACTACAAGGGCTTTAAATTTCGAAAAATCGTTCGAGTGAAAAACATATAAAAAATTTCTTTCTGTTTCATTTTGAAACTTCCAAACTTACTTTTTCTGATTCAGCGCATGAAACTGACTCTAGGAATGTTGTTTAGAATTCGATCCTGTCAATTTGAAAATGAAGAGTCAAGGATACCTTAAAGAGCATCAACAAATTTTGTAAACCTATCTAGTTTTTTCTAGTAAGGGATGGAAGCTGGATTTACACTACATGACTTTTTCACCTCTGATTTAGAAAAAATGAACTTTTTCAACAACGGAAAGGAATTTAAAAAAAAGGGCTTTATACTTTTGTTGCCCGTGAAACGACGAATTTGAATGTGATGTAAATTCGGCTTCCATTCCTTACCAGAAAAAGTTAGATAGGTTTACAAAATCTGTTGGTACTCTTTAAGGTATCCTTGACTCTTCATTTTTAAATTGAACGTGAGAAAACAGCTTTAATGGGAGTAAAAGGATTCATAACTGGAATGCAAGTGCAGATAACGTTCTAACTGTATTCCATTCAATCCTCTGTTCTCCATATACAAGTAGCCAATAAGAAACAAAAAAGGTAAGTGATTTCTAGTGGCGTGACCAGGATTTTGTTAGTGGATGGGCGTTCAGACGGCAAAAATAAGATCTTTTTTCTTCAGTCTTAGAAATAAGATGGGAGAAAAAGGTTAGGTCGATAGAAGAATAAGACATTTTTTTTGAAGTATGATTGATACCGATGAAAAAAACTCTTGTGCACTCTTGTGAAAAAAACTCTTTTTCTCTTGTGCCTTTATTAACAATACGATAGATAGTTAAGAAGATACTGAATCATCATCATTTGAAAAAATGGTAGTTTTTTTGTATCTATTATAGTTCGTCAATGTTGTTATTCTAATATGAATCTCATGTTTTGTCTGAAGAAAGATGTCACTCGGTGAAAAACACTTATTTTTGAAATATCTAAATTTCTGAAAGTGAATCTGTTTTACGTGATACTCGACACAACATTTGTAAGTAATTCTGTATATGAATAAACGTTTTCTATCGTATACATCGTGCAGGCCATACATAGAAAAGAAATTATTTTCATTATTATGAAAATAATCTGTTCAGTAACAATCATTATATCCATCGATATATTATTCAAATGTACCATCCATGTCTGCGGAGAAAAATGAAAACAAAACCAATTTTTTCCATATATAACCAACAACAAATGAAATACAACAAAAAAAACAAAATTCTATCAACAGAAAAGCTTTCACATTCATCATTCTAATCAAATCGAAATGAGAAATGGAGAGAGAGAGAATAATACTTAACATTCTTTTCCGTCTTTATGAGAGAACTGTTAACCAATTAGCGAATATAATAATAGTTTTTGGTTTTGGAAGAAAAGAGCAAAGCACCGAGCTAACATGTGGCAATAAGAGAGAAAAAGTAGTTTAAATGCAGTCAGAAGAACATTTTTCACAGTTTTGAAAGACTATTCTTTAATTTCTTTCTCCTACGCAAGATATTCGAAATGTCACATCTTTTCAGTCAAAAGAATTTTGTCTAAAAAGTGCTGTCTGGCATTAAGATTTGAATGCTGTATATTTCTGGAAAAAATCCTTTGATGTATCTGCCATATGAGAACTTTTTAGAAATGAATGATGATAATTTTGTAATAGGTTGATTTCTGGATTTGTGGAAATTTTACATCTGCCACTTATGAGTTAAATATGTTCATTTATAAATATCCTTTCACCAGCTTGACCAATAAAATTTAGTTGATATTAAAAATTTGTAGGTTAACAATTGCTGAGTTGGACACGTATATAGAGATAAATGAGAATTAATTATCTCATTTCGAATATAAAATTGCTTTAAATTCTAAATTTCAGATAAGAGATATTAGATGAAGAATCATTAATATTAACCTTACCTTCGTAAGATACTTTATTGTCTTCATCGGTATCAGCTTCTTCTATCATATCAACCACATCTTCCTACAAACAATAATACAAACTTATTAGTTGATAGAGTATACCGCCACAACAAATTGTTGAATAGATTTACTGGAGATAGTCCAACGGGAGTAAATAGAGAACGATCAAGATTATGAAACGAAAAAAATCACCAAGAGAACCATCTTATTAATTAAATTGCTGTTTGTCAAACAGTTTATTAATATGATCTATATATATTTAACACTGTAAGCAAAATATTATTGCGCTAAAAAGGAGAAGTGTATGTCCGTATGTGGACAAATTCTTTTTTTGAGCCGGAAATTAGCCGTTTTGGGCACGGTTTGTCAATTTCTGTGCCCAAAAAAATCTTTTGACTGTTTTGGGCACGGTTATTTATTTGGGAACGCTAATTAACCCAAATGGGCACAGGTCGCTAATTCCTCTTTCTGCCTCTTACAGTGATATAGTAAAAAGGCTCCCTAAACGGGAAGATAAAACAGAATTATACATTCAGAAACAAATTGGTCCCGTCTGCGTTTCTGGCAACGATTGGAAAATAAGCCGAAGGTTTTTTTGAGTACGAAAATTAGCGACCCGTGCCTATTTCGGCTAATTACCGTTCCCAAATAAATAACCGTGCTCAAAACAGTCAAAAGATCTTTTTGGGCACGGAAATTCACAAACCGTGTCCAAAACAGCTAATTTCCGTGCCCAGAAAATCCTCATCCAGTGTATGTGATATATAAAAGAAGTAGCGTAAAACTAGATTTTTTCAGTTCACTACATTTTTCTGCTTGTAGTTAAATATCACATAATGAAGATGTTTTATATGGAACACATCGGTATGTATATTTGTTGTTATTTGTACTTAATTTGCTTCAAAATCTAGACACTTTATTTTCTGATATAAAATTATCAAGTTCAGCTTCCATAATGCAAATCTATAATGGTAACCATTGTCTGTGCATCATTTTGTTGAGAATATGGTTATGTTACTATTTATTTACGTATTGATATGTCAATATAAAGAGTACACATATCAAAAATTCTACTTTTGAACGGTATACATAAGTTGAGAAAAATCTCGTTTCAATCTTCTGCAAATGAAAACTTCGGAAGCCATTCTATTTTTAGTCTCGTTCTATGAATAGAACGAAAAATTAAATAATTCGCATTTCGTTCTCTTTTTGTACTTTTTCTGAGATCAACTATTTATATACATGCGGTTTCAACTCATGCATCTTTGATTTGATGTTTTACTTGATCATAGAGCAGCAAGAAATCTTTACTTACTTCGGTAATATTTTCTCCTAATCTTTTTAACATATCATATAGTTCGTCTTTGTCGATGAATCCATCACGATTTTTATCAAATACCTATGAGAGAGAAAGATAGAATATATAACAATGAAACAAAGAAAAATTTAATACTAACATCGAATACATGCTTTAATTCATGGTCCAATTCACCCGTTGACTTTCTTCTTTGCATCATAGTTAAAAATTCTTCAAAATCAACTTTACCATTTCCTTAAAAACCCATGAAACACTATTGTCGAGCTTAATCGGTTAGACAGAAAAAAGTACTTTTTCTTCTCAAAAATATATTCATCATAGCACTCTTATTTTTTTATTTATAAAAATGAAAAAAATGATACTTATAAAACTTATTTCTCATCTATAAGTTTAGCAAGTTTAACAAAAAAATTTCTTGATTTGTTAATGAAACTCATAAGCTCACATACCGTCAAGGTCAACTTTTTTAATCACAGCTCCAATATCCTCTTCGCTTGGACTATATCCAAGTGAATTCATCAACGATCTTATTTCATAATCGCTAATATGTCCATCACGATCTCGATCGAGAACACTGAACGATTCTTCAAAAACTAAAGTAGAGAAGAAAACAGTTGTGTTAATTTCAATGGTTCATGAGATTATGATTACGGTGTATATTTTTCTCTCTGATTTCATCAATTTGGTTAGAAAGATGAAGGTGATAGTATTACCTGCGATTTGTTCCTCCGAGAAACCATGTACAGCACTAAGCTCTCGACGACTTTTCCCCGTGGTGGTCTAAACGAAAAAGCAAAGAATATTAGTTAGTCGATGAAAAATATGTGTGCATCAGATAAGTGTGATTAGAGCATTGTCTTTGCTGTATGATAAAGTGAAAATTAGAAAAAGAAAAAAACATGAAAAATATTGTTATAAGTTATAACAGAGTAGTGAAAAGTATATAGATACATACAATGAGCACATAGGTTTTTGTTGTTTTTACAGTTCGTTTGATAGATGCTCGTTTGCACGATATTGTTTCATATTCATACGTTGATGTTGTCGATAATCGACGTGTTTCATTTGTTGTATAAATGAGTGACATGTATGGGTATTATATACACGTGTGTGAGAAAATCTCATGAGGATAAACAATGTTATGATATCTTTCTCGGTATATTATATAATCAAATGAAATGTGTTTCCATGTTATTAAGCTTTGAAAAAGATTTTTTTAAACTATAACCCATGATTAATCTTTACAACGATAAATACTTAGTTAAGTAAAGTGCATTTAAGAATATTTTCCATACTTAATCGAAACAATTATAGAATGTACGTCATGCTCTAGTCTCTCTATAAAAAAATTATAAGATTGTTTTCTCAAACTAGAGAAAAAAAACAATATATAGACGTCACGTTCGCTAAAGGGGAAAGACAGATATCATATTTTTGTTGAGTGTACGTGAAAAATATATTTGCAATTTTATATCTGTACATACATACACACAATATTCTCATCATCATCACCCGAATAACACCATCATCATGTGATAATTAACACACTAAAAACATTTCCTCTTTCTCTCTCTCTCTCTCTCTCTGCACTACGATTATATGGGGGATGTTAAAATAACTAATCAACTTTCATACATATGCAAAAAGTAATGCTTAAATCAAGTTAGAGTGTGTCAGTCAAAGAAACAAACAAACAATATAAATATGAGTATATGTTATTTGATTGTAAAAGACCTGTAGTAGTGAGTGATACGACACAATTCCAAAAGTGTTTGATGAAATTTTACTCGAGCATACGGTTATGTAACAAAACAAAAGAGTCAAAAAATAGTCATTGACTTACAAAGTTGAGCACCGTGCAAAATGTGTATCATGAAAAGAGTAATCAAGAAAATATAATGAGTGATGTGATGGCATATCAAAAAGTGAAAGTTTTCTTATATTTTTGAGAATGTCAAATAACCAGATTTGACTTTTCGACACACAGATGTAATGTGCTCACCGTCAACTTACGCGATGAGTTATATGATACGATGAGTTATTGCTCTGTAAACCATCTTATTTTGTTTCTATACAAGTTCGAATCGATGGTATATTTAGAACTAATAAAAAAAATGTCAAATTAATCGCATCATGTCAAACTGTACCAGAATACACCCGATTAGTTCGCTGTTTTTATCTAGAAAAGAATAATTAGTTCTGTACTCTTCTCTCTATTTTTTCTATGAAGTGAACCGTTTCTTATCTAATGATGTTCGTATTAGTAATAATAATGATAAGAGGAATGATGTCAAAATTTATATCAAATATCAAACTTTGATAAAATATGTGCATAAGAGAAATTTTCTTATAGTTACATTATATGGAAACTAATCAAAAGATATAAACTATATGATGATAATCAGAAAATGAACGATACCATATTAATTAGATAAAAGAACTAATGATATTTAATGAACATTCACATCATTCTAAGTTGCACTACCAAAGAGTGAACAGAATATCTATTTTATTATTATCAAAAATCGCAGCTATGAATATTTATTTCTTATTTGACTACTAATATGAATAAATTGATGAATAGATCGTTCATAGTATAGTCTGAAGCACTCATTACAACAGTCTGTCAAACAATCTGACAAAGGAAGACCTCCAACTGTTTTTCTGGGCTTTTCGTTGAAACCTAGCTACTTATAGATAATATTTGATACTGATCACGAATACAACATTCATTTCTGCCGTTAGGTCGATGAAATCGAGACCTCTAGCCTAGGCAAAATCCTACACACTTCCTATCTATTTCCTACCGGATTCTAACATTTAGGATCCATCTAATAACTTCCTAGCAGGAATCCTACCAGGATTTCGCATGAGTTTGTTTAGGATCTTAACACAATCTTAGAAAATCCTATGACTTTTGAGTATACCTGATTCCATTAGAATTCTGTAGGGTTTTTGTTAAGATCTTAAATAAACCTAAGAGAAATCCTCATAAGATATTGATAGGATATGTCTCAGATCCTGTCGGAAAGCTCATAGGGATTTTACTAGGGTAGATTCACGACAAACTTTCAAACGGACTGACTTTAATACGACCAGATTGTAAAATATATCACTTTATCAATGTCGAGAAGTTGGATAGATTCAAAGAGTGAGCTTTTGCAAGTATCAAAATTTTGCTGACACAATACCGAAAACTTTAGAAAATAGAGAAGAAAAGCTTTTGATGAGACTTCGTCTATTTGAAAGCTTGTCATGAGTCTCTAGACCAGGGTGGCCAGATGAAAAAATTTAAAATCAGAAAAAAAAATTGGAAAATCAGAAAAATTTCCCTATCAAAATCAGAAAAAAATCAGAAAGTGGATTTAATGCGGCAACTAGACAAACGTGTTTCGTTCAACATATAATTTATCAGTCCTTTTATTGAACTGTATTATCGTTTTATGTAGATAGATATCATGTGGATAATATCGTATCAATAGTAATAATTCGGGCATTCATATGAGAACGAACTAGCACGTTTGAAACAGAAGAAATGAAAATCAGGAAAATCAGAAACCAGAAAGCCATCAGAAAAAGTGTTCAAAATCAGAAAATTTCTGAAAAATCAGAAGATCTGGCCAGCCTGCTCTAGACGCCCCGATTTTACAGATCCATCTAATAAATACCTAGCGGCAGAGATGAGTATCTTATCCATGATCAGTATCAAAAAATAATTAATAAACAGCTAGATTTCAAGGAAAAATTGATGTTAACATCTAGAGACTATTTCTTGTGAGTAAGATTATTTATAAGATACCTACGATCATAATATCATCAACAGTTCGTGTTGGATAAAGATAATTTTCATGAATTTTATTTTCATTATTATTCGTAAATGATAATGAATATTTTAATGGATATTTAGAAGTATTTTCATTTTCAAATAAAATATTTGATATAGAAGAAGACGACAACAATGGTTCCGAATCTGGATCAGAACATAATGTAAATGTTGTTGTATGTTCAAGATTTTGGTAAAGTTCTTCTTCTTCAAGTTTAAATGGTGTATTGTCAAATGATGAAAATGTTAAAGATGAACTATTTGTATAATAACCGTTCGATGAATTATCTTTGATGTTGCTGTTATCAATCGAATCCAATAGATTCATTTGTAAATATTTACTATTTAAATATCGTTGATCATAATCAATCATTATTTCTTAATTTATCATGTAGTTAGAAAAATAGAGTAATTATCCGTCTGTTTTATTTATCTTATTTATTACTCTATACCAGAGAGTAAAAGAAAAGTACAAGTATAAAAAGTTTTTGTTCTTCGTTACTTGTTTTTCAAATATTTGGATAAAAAAAAAAAAAAAAATCATTTTCTTTAAGTAGAAAATTATTATTATTTGTTTGTTGATTCATAGATGCATGCGAGAAAAAAATAAAAAAAAAGAAATTGTTTCTTTGTACATATGCTCTTTACGACAAAGACAAAATGATCAAATTTATTTATATTGACATATGGAAGAATGCAAACGACAAACAGAATTATGATAATGATCGATTGTGTGCGCCTCTGACATTTTAACTTTTGTTCTGTTAGGAGAGGAGACATGTTTCTTTCGTTCTAGTAAAAATAATAACAATTGTAGGAGGAGAAAAACAAAATTAAAACAACTCTCAAAAATAGAACATCATAAACAATGTAGATGACCTATAGTTCTGTAATTTCTGGTATGTTCAATTATTATACAAATTTCAATGATGTATTTTCATTTTTAATTGATCATATTGAAACTTTATGTACAAATACACATTTTGTCATTAATGACAGTTGTCTTTTCTTTCGGAAGATAAACCAGAGTAAAAATCTAGAATTGTTGTTATTCAAATATGGGCTTACAGAAGGAAACGATACAATTTTATCGAGCAAATGTTGTTGTGATATAAAATACAGAAATTAGGTTCTATCTTCTATCATTGTATAATGATGTATTATAACTATTTTTAGACACCTTTTACAAATGCATAGAAACAAAATAATCTACCTAGATTTATTCAAAACTAGTACAACCATTCTTACAATTTTTTTTTTTTTTTTTTTGACAATCGACAAGGACATAATAATTCAATGACATTCAACAGTGATTTTTATTCAAGTTCAACCGATCTGTTTCATACAATGGTTCCGGAGGATTATGTCTTCAAGGATTATACTTTAGATTAGTAAATATTGATTAATTCTTTTAAAAAGCACTAGGAATAAGAAATTGACCACATATTCATCGCTCTGCCGTTAGAAATAAAAATGAAAAGTGAAGATTCAAGCACTTCATCTATAAGAAAATGATGTTTTCAATGTAGGTTTCTATATAAAAGGAATAAATTCAAAAAAAGGTAAAATATTTGCTCTACTATGTATAGGATTTTTATACCAAATATTTAATTGAGTTTAAAAAACATATTTTTTCTATAATACGTACTGTCGGCATCGAAAACGGTTTCATTTTACTTCGCTCCATTATGTGTTACTGTGCAGTATGACATAAAATTTAGTCAAAAAAAGATTTTTTTTTTCATTGTCTATCGTTTTTACAATAATCATGATCGATCATGCATAACAAGATTTAAATCAAACATTGAGTTTAAAGTAGTTACAAGCTCCCTGTTAGCTAATACGAATAGTTATAAAAAAGAGTAATATAGAAGTAGTGCTGAATTATCATTATTTGAAAATTTCAATCACCAATCAGTACCCTGAAAGTGTCTAAGGATTAAGAATTGCCATGGAATTTTTTATTGCGATCAAAAATACAGTTTCAGTAGTTAGACTATTGTGTAGATAATCATTTTCTATCCTCAATTATACATAAGTTTAGTTTAATTATACTGTTGTTGCATAATACACCTGCTTATACTATGCACTAAGCTCTATACTAATGAAAAATCCTACAATACAAAACATTTTCAGAAAAATCTGCTTTTAAGATGTAAAAACGGAAAGGAATCGATAGCGAAGAGTCAACAATATTAACATTTAGCAGCTGATTGATAAAAAAATTTGAGCCTTCCGATGTTTTCCATTATCGAAACTGCATTTCAAAATGTTGTACTTCTAACCTAATGTATCAGCCTTGGTTTTCTTTTTCTTTTAATCTCTTTTCTTTTTTTTATAATAGATTGTCTTTAAATGCTGTTTCTCTCTCTGTTGTGTCCTCTGTTCACTGTCTTGGAGATCTCGCAAGTGGGATGAGTATGTCAAGGACATTGTTCTGGCTTGCATCGGCAAGCTGGAGACTTTAGGTCGTATCTTTGAATTTGCTTCACTAGGAGTTCACCATCGAATTTTTCTTTTCTGTATCATTCTTAAAATTGATTATTGTTGTGCCTTGTATGACAGTGCGTTTTCTCTCTCTATTCTTGTTTCTATAAATAATCTTGCTACGCGTGTTATTTCTCACAATTTTTATTATTATTTTTCTAGATCTTTACCTGTATCACATCCCTTCAGGGTCACCAAATGCCTCCCATGAGTGGAGCAGTTCCACATTTGACCCTGTGGTCCACACGAAAAATGATCTCCTCATGCGTCTCACATCCGGGATTTGTTCTTGTTTTACCTTAGAAAAATGGTGTTTTGTTCTTGTTACACAAATTGCAATGACTTTCATTCATTGACTTTGAATGTACAACCCGATCCACATTTGATTTTTTTCCAGTTGTCTACCCTATATCTCTGCCAAATCTTTCTCTTCGCCGTAAAAGTTTTAGATTTGCATAGATTATTAAAAATTCATTTTCGTATAAGTTAAGATAAGGGAAATCGAACGGTTAATGATGTGAGAAGAGGAAAAGGGTTGATATTTGATAACATGCCAATGGAGCTAGATGATTTGCACTATGCCAAAACAAGTTTTGACAACAAATAGATAGACGGCAAGGAAGAAGGTCCGAACTGAATTGAGCTAGTCGGCTATAACCAAAGCTCATTGATAGAAAACGCGAGAGTGATGCGTTTCATATTACGTAAATATTGATAGATAAGATGTGAAACTGAACACAGTCAAAATTATTTTTAAATTGCATTGTGTTTTGTATTAATTCAGTTACGTTCAGTTAAAGAACTCTCTAGCAGGAATATACTATCGAGTTGAGAAATTTATGGGCAAAAAGATTATTGAACATGAAAAACAACTTCTTTCCAAAAATTATTGTTATTTCTGAATATAACGCATAATCAATTGTTTTTGATGTATTTATTTTAGACTGTTATTGTATCTCACGAGGGAACCCCACGAAGTGATTAAACGCTTTTTGCTCGAAATCTAGTGGGTTATAGGTTATCGACCATGCTGATTACGAATACGACCATGCGGCTTCCGCATAGCCCTTTGAACACCTGGTTTTCTAGAAAACCAGTTTTTCAGAAACCCCAAAAAATAACCCGAACCGTTCTTAATGAGGCATGATTGTAGCCCGCACATTTCTGATTAAAATGAGACCTCTCCCAACTCCACATGACCTTTCTTTGCAAAGTTATAGAATTTACAACAAAAGCCCTAAATGTTCATGGTCAGCTAAAAGCTACAGAAATAAGAAGAGATTAATTTAGGGCTTTTCTGTAAATTTTATAACTTTGCAAAGAAAGGTCATGTAGAGTTGGGAGAGGTCTCATTTTAATCAGAAATGTGCGGGCTACAATCATGCCTCATTCAGAACGGTTCGGGTTATTTTTTGGGGTTTCTGAAAAACTCGTTTTCTGGAAAACCAGGTCTTCGAAGGGCTATGCAGAAGCCACATGGTCGTATTCGTAATCAGCATGGTCGATAACCTATAACCCACTAGATTCCGAGCAAAAAGCGTTTAATCACTTCGTGGGGTTCCCTCGTCAGTTTCCAGGCAACCAACAGCCTCCATACCCGAAAATTCTCCTGGATTTTCTAAAAATCCTCAGTTTGACAAAAACCTAAGACCTAATTCAAAAATCAACGCCGATCAGTCCATGTAGTTTCGTTTCCTCTTTGAAACCAAAAAAGAATGAACTCTCTACGACAAACCGCTATTAAAAATCTTGGGACGTACTGCAGGTGTAACTCTTATATAGTGAAAATGCTGTATTAAACGCTGTATGAAATACTGAATTTTAGGACTTCTAGGAAAATGCCTGTAACGTTTTGATGCAAAGTCATACAGAGTTGTGCGAGGTCTTATTATGATCAGGAACGTTTGCTCTACAAAGCTATGTGCTCAGAAAAATTTGAATTGCACTACTATCCAGGAAAAAACTATTATTTGAAGACCCGGTTGTTCAAGGCTCTTAGAAAACTTGCTCAAAATCCCCGAAAAACCGGTTTTGTAACCAAAAGCAATACAGATTCTGGAAGTAGACACTTCAGGCTATCTTTCCATGTGCGTATCTCAAAACCGATTTTTTGACCGAAAATCACCATTTCTGAGGGAGGGGGGTCCCTTAAGCTACTAATTGTTTTCGGATCTGTCTATAAAACTAAACGAGGATGTCTTTTGAAATTTTCATCTCTTTTTATACTCAATCTTTTGACGATTTGAAATAAAGATTCCAGTTATTATTACTACCTGTGGTTGTGTCATTTGCTGTTCGACTATCATCGAGTTCTTTTTTTGTACTTTTTCTATTTATTTCAGTTCGATATAAAAAAATAAACAAAAAAACAACCAATGCTATTCTGTGTTTGTAATCATCTCATTGTGGCATTAAGTGATTAAATTAAGACGAAAAAAACCCTGTATCTGACCAAGCAGTATTACATTCATTCATCTTAGTTACATTTAGTTTTACTAAGTCTGAGAAAATGAAACTAAATACTGCTAGCATATCAACTTAGAAATCGAACTGGAGAGAATGGGGAATATATAGAATCGTATGGTTATACTTAAAAAGTACTTCTTATACAATTCACTATACTGTTTTCCATACTAAATATTTCACAAGTGGATGTTTCTGCTTTAACTAATTTTTTTTCTACTATGATATAGATATACTTATAGAATGATTTATCGATGTGTATGAACTGTCTGAGTTAAAATATCAGAACGTGTTGGTGTTGTCATATAATATTTATTTAATACATGTCCTCCCATTTCTAACATTGGTTTTTGTGATGCTGTCAACGTTTTTTTCATTCCATTTGGATTTTTTCCTGCTAAACATTGTTGATTCCAGTGTTCAACAAGTTCACTTGTGTGATTATCTTGTGGTTGCAAAACAATTTCAGCTAATTTATTTGATAAGAAGTAATCAGAAATTAATGGTGTTGATTTTCGTTGTTGATTAATAACACGTTCACGATTAGTTGAAAATGATGGTAGAGCATAATCGGCTCGATTCTGTGGCCGAACGGGTGGTGCTATTTGAGATATTGTTGTGTTCATAGGATAGTGTTGTTGTCTTGGTGGTTGTGGACGAGGAGGAGGAGCGGGAGAAGGAGGAGAAGAAGAAGAAGGGATAGGAGAAGGAGTAGAACGTTGAACAGGTGGCTGTTGCAGTAGCGATGATGGGAGTGGATCCTCTCTTCCATGTTTTCCTAAACTTGGTACTTTTTGTACTACACGTGGAGTTTTTGTTGATGAATCAACTGTCGTCATTTCTGGATTATTTTTTTGTGATTGTAGAATATAATAATTTGGTTTTGGACTTGGTGAGACTGTAGGTTTTATATCTATATCAGGTAATGTTTGAGTGAATGTTGAGTTTTGTTTCACAATATATTCAGAATAATGTCCATAAAATGGTCCATCTTCACGAAAACATGGTTTTGTTATATTTTTTGAATTCGCTGAACGTATTTGAGCCGGTTCTTCTAGTACAGATTCCAGCTGTAGTGCGAATCGAACACGTTTTTGAGTACGATGTCTAGCCGATGGCGTTCTCGGTGGTGAATGCGTATAAATGTCTGGATAATATTTAATAATATCATTATTAACATTATAAGTAACACTGCATGGACGATTTGCTGAATTTTTTCTCTCCAATTGAGAAGGTTTTTTATGCAATGTAACAGGTTCTTTGAAAAGGAGAAAAAAAATTATAGTTAAAAAATCTTAAATTATAGATTGGAATACTATACACTACTATTAAACTAGATTACTAAAACTAATTACAAATGACAACAGCTGAAGAGGATATTATCAATTTACAAGAATGAGAAAGATACAAGATTGAAAAATTAGTATTACTTGTACGATTTTTCGTAGTCATCTTGAAAATTACAACAACTAAAAATTCATTATGATAATCGAGCGAAGAGTGGAATGTATTGTTGGTTGATTTATTTTTTTTTCAAATAAATTTTTTTTTATACAATCATTATGTCCACGTCTAAGTACATACAAAATACATAAATTTTTTTATTACAAAAATAACACGAAAATAGAAATAATATTAGTTGTTCTCTATTTATTTAGTTAATCTTTTAAAAATTTTTAAAAAATCAAAGAAGCTTTTAAATATTATTGACAATAGTTAAAACGTACTTTTTTCGTTTCTATTATTTCACATATAGTTATTTCAACAAGTCTAATTATTGAGTACAAAAATTTCCTTTTTATTTCTATCATCTTATCGTCATTTACCAGTGGTAGGAGACATTATTCATCTCATGTTGTGTGTTTAACGAACACTATACATGGTACTTGAGAGAAAAGGCATCGTAAATGATTGTATTTTGAACACTTAACAACTTCACTAGAAATATATATGTTATGATGTATGATAAAAACGAATTAAAAACTTATGTAACTGTGTGGGTTAACAATAAAAAGTACATATTAAAATGATTAACTTAATATGTTTATAGTTCTTGAAGATGAATCAATTTGAACTGAAAATTGAAGACATTTGTTTATAAATAAACAACTATTTCTATGAAAATGTTAAAGCAATTTATTCGCTTGTATACACCCATTAATCTCATCATTTAGTTTATGGATATTTAGCAATTGTTATTGATGCTTAAGATGTTTGTTTACTAGTAAATGGCATGAGTGACCGTGTTAGATGCTTATCAACTGCAGAGAAGATATCAAACTATTTAAACTAAGGAACACATTTCGTCCTACGGAATGGTTGAAGCGGGAGTGCCTCAGGAATCAATCCTCAGACCACTCTTGTTTCCCATTTATATCAATGACACTACTAATTTACACTTAAAAAGCAGGTTATATCTATATGCAGACGACACATCTATCTTCATAAAGTGATATCTAATGATTCTGCATCTTCCCTAACAATCCACGATAACTTCGATAAATTAAACGCCGACTGAACCAGCAAATGCTTAGTCAATTTTAACGTCGAAAATAGAAGAAATAATTTTTTCATTTACTGGATGAGACACAACGTTTCCTCCATTTTCTTTAAACGTTAACATACTAAAACAAGTGACAGCACATAAACGTTTAGGATTTACATTTTGAGAGCTCTGCGAACGACATTGGCACTACCAGCTCTTATACTTATCGTATATTTTGATCGTCATGGAGTATAGACTGGTTTTATCTAGTAATACAAACTCAAGTTAATGTTGATCGACAGCAAAGCCTTCGAAATGAGGCACTTTTGATTATGTCCGGAGCGTGCCGTAGTACCTGAATCGAAAAGTTACACATTAAATTCAGTATACCATCTGTTGGGCAAATAGTTCAATATTCTAAATTTAATTTAATTTATAAAATCCTGCACACTCAGTTGTCTTCCTACCTCAGAAGTTTAATTACTTTAAAAAGAGACATAAATACTAGAAGGACGCTTTACTATATACTACTAGATATAGTTCCAGCACATCTTTTGTAGATAAGTCAGTACTGGTGAACGTTATACATGATTGGAACAACCGACCTTATGAAATGCGATCCATCACAGATACTGAGAACTTCTCTATAAAATTGAAAAATTTCCTAAATTTTCCATCTCGGCCACCAGTTTGGTACAATATAGAAAGTCGGATAAATATTATCCGTCTGACACGTATACGTCTAGGCTT